CATGCCGGCACCCATAATAACGTTCATTTCGACCGCATGCACAACAAGCGAACCCATGCCGGCACCCGTAATTACGTTCACTGCGACCACATCCGCAACCACCAAAACACTGCTACACGCAGCACATTCTGATGAGCTGGCATTTGGTGCGGGCAAATAGGGGGGGGGGCCCGTAGGTTTAGGGTTTAGAGGCGCGCATCGCTCAAAGCAGGCACGGCAAGTACTGTCCGGTCCGGGCCCCACGTTTAGGGTTTAGGGCTCAAGGTTTAGGATTTAGGGTTGCTTGATCCTAGAATAAAAAACCTAAGGACAGAAGGCACCTTCTGAATTAAAGTTGCGTATACTGCATATACTAGGCTTAGGAACCTGGAGCGGTGGGATAGCCAATAAGCCAATGAGGAACCTGCAGTCGCCGAAAAACAAAACAAACGTACGCTGGCGACTCAGGATCTCCTTTTCATTTGACTGCAGCTGCGCCGTGGGGGCAGCTGCGGCCTCCGGAATGACTCGCTTCAGGTCAGCCGCTTTGAGCAAATCCTCTGCGGTCACCTCAGCAACTCCAGAAATATCCAGATATCATTGCGCGACAATGTTGCAGGCAGTTTTCTTCCTAAGGTCCCACTTCGTAGCTCAAGCTGCTAGGTCCCGAGCTACAAGTACAAGGGGCGGCCATGTAAAACTGCACTAACTATTCTAAGAAAGAAAAAAGGGCCCGCCTGCACCGTGGTCTTTTGGGCCTTGCAAGCAAGCTCAAGACGGAGAATGAAACGCGCGAGATCCAGCGTCTCGGAGGTTTCCGGAATCCGGTCGACATCGTCCCTGCTCGGACAGTTAATGACAAATGAAATTCCAGCATCCCCGTTGAAGTCTGGTGCAAGCAGCCGGGGCAAGCTGAAGTATGTGAAGGGCACGGCCTTGTTCTTCACTTTAGCTTCGATGCAATGCCGTAGATTGCTCAAACCGGCTTGAATTGTGATGTGGTCTCTTCGTGCCTCAGTATCTAGTTTCTCGTCCAACTTCTCGCAGCCCGCAAGGTCAGCCAAGTCCAGCACGGCGCTATTGCTGGCGCCGCCCGAGGTGAACTGAATCTTCAGGCGCAGCAAGAAGTGGCTCCGTGAGGATTTGGCGTTGCTCCCCGTCTTCGAGCCCTTGCGTCGCAGGAGGACCTCTGATAGCCACTGGAGGGCAGGCTCCGCACTTTTGAACTCGTGCTCCTGGGCCCCTGTTACATCCGAGTAGTTACCGCTCTGAACTTTGATGGAAGGGGCATCAGGAACTCCCAGATCTGTGAAGTCGCTCCGGTGGAGCTGAATGGCTTGCATGCGCACTGTGAGGTCCGGCAGTCCCCTTAAGAACAGCTCCTCAATCGTGCGCTGGGCCAAGCCATGTTCTGCCCCACTCCCTAACATAGTGTGCGTCTTCCCAGATCCTGTTATGCCGTAGGTACAGATCAGCCCACGAAAGCCTCGCAGGACAAAGTCCAACATCTCCGGCCCCACCCTAGAATAAACAGCATCTTGTGTGGCATCCTCAGCAAAAGCATGATCAACCTGAACCTTGACCTCTTTCCACTCCTCCTTATCCCTTTGGGATTTCCATGGGAATTTGATCGTGTGCTCAGGCTCCAGTGCAATGCCAGGTTTGGCTGGTTCTGGCCCAGCGTCTTGTGCTGCTGGAATACCAGGCCCTTTCCTGGGTTGCTTTTGGGGAACGTAATTTAACGTACTATATTGGGGAAACCCTATTAATTACTATTCACATATATATATAGTATGGTAACTTAAGTTCATTAACAGCAACCCAGTTTCAAGGCTGGAAGCTTTACATCTGCTGAAGGGCGGAACCGCACATAAACGCGAGGGCGGCCATGCATGCTCCCAGGACTTGAATAAACCGCGGCACTTCAAAGCTCCTCTTGAGCCTCAAACATCCAAGGCCAATAGTTATCCTAAATGGCCTTATAGGGGCTACCCCAATAAGTAGGGTTATAGAGCCTCAAACACCCAAGGCGAACAGTTCTTTCAATATGCTTGTTTCCATTCATCTGTCCTACAACCTGTGCCTCCGTGTCTGGTCACTACTCATCATGGCATATCAGGCATCAGAAGCAGAAGTCGCGCGGCATGGTGACCCTGCTATGTCGTTCCACCAATCTTGGGCAATCCCCCTTAATCAGGTAGTTGCTGCGACGCTGGCGTATGCTGGCGCTCAGCTTTGTGACCGTTGATACGAGCATGTTCTTGATAAGGGCAAGACTACTGCAAACGCTGGAGGTCGGAACGTGCATGGCATCTGAAAGATGTACTTACCCAAGGGCTCCAATGTAGTTCCTTTTTGGGTTTGTTATCGTTTTTGGGTAAGGGATTATATAATATACTACCCAAAAAGGAACTACATAGGAGGGTCTACTTATCACAAAGAAAATGACTTCGAATGTCAAGGCAATAGCACTCAGGGATCCTGCTTTCCGCTGGGCTCGCCAAGTCATACACTCGGCCAGTCACACGATCCCTTTTCGGGAGCGCCTTGTACGGATGATGTTTGTTTTGGGTCGTGACAGATCTGCCAAACAAATCTTACTGAGCTGTACCCGAGGAAGTTCCATCTATCAGAACTTAGTTGCTAATAGCTTGGTGCTAAGCTGCTCTCTAGGTCAGGAACTGAATTCACAACATCATAAGCAGGGAAGGGGCCACATGCCCTGTGCAATGTGCCCTCACATTTCGACGAGAACGAGCTAGCACAGTTCAACTCAGGACTTTCGCCACCACGGCTTTTCTGCGGCTGCTGCACAGGTCACCTTGCCACTGTTCAGGGGTAACGTCATCTTTAACAGCTACAGGCTGGGAAGTCAATACTGATGCCATCCCGATATATGCTCCATTGCTTGGACTTGAGAAGGACTGTAAACACAGTAGATGGGGCAGGGTACTGCAGAGGCCAACACACCATCCCGGATAGTGGAGCTTGAAAGATACGAACCACCAACTTCCCAAAGGCCACTGCCCTGCTATTGGGGATAAGCCTAAAAGGCAATGCAGGGATTTTCAGGGAATCATGTTGAGCAGGAGTTGGTGCTGTTCTAGATCTTATGAGGTGGCATTCCAAACATGTCATCTTGGTGAGTGCAGGATATCAGCTACGTGACCGGCTCCAAGCGACAGGATGTTCTTATTTGCTCATTGTCAAAATCCTCCCTGCTGGTATTCAGAAAACGTATGCGCATCGCGCTCATTACCACTATGTATCAGTCTATCAGAGAATTGCTGTGCGGCTTGCGATGCTTCTAGTACAACTTGTACAACTCTAATTATGTCGGCTCTTGCTATGCTATGGCATGCTATGGCTGTCTAGCAGAAGGCTCAGCAATAACTTGGCCCTATTCCGTCGCGTCAAGCAAAAAAAAGTATCGGGCCTCGGAAAAAACATGTTTTCTGGCTGCTGTTTAGTTTAAAGTTAACCCAGTCGACTTTCTGTCTTGCGTGGGCTCTGTCTGCGGCTACTTCCTTGGTCTGTGGTAATTGAAACCATCTTCGCGGCCGTGATTTCTAAACAGCCATGGGAGGCCCCCTAGATGTGAGAATTTGGCTCCAACCAAAACTACAGTAGCTCCAGCTACTGACTTGCATAGCCTAGAATCAGCTAGAATACCCTTCCCCTCCAGACAGGATCCAAAAACCCTAAACCCTAAGCATCCCTCTTCAAGCCAAAGTCACAGGATATTGTGCCATGTCCGGATCTGCCGTGACTGGGGCGACCACATCGCCTGTGAAGGATGCGGCAGATCATGAAGGTTCTAGGGTTTAGGGTTT